GGGTCCTCCCCGCCCCCCCAAGCAGTCCGTCACCTGGCAGGAACCTTTCCGTGGCTCCCCTCCAACCCCTGTGCTCGCAGCGAGCGGCGCTGGAAGGCACGCTGGCAGACACGGAAGGGCGGTACAGCGCGCAGCTGGCGCAGGTGCAGGGCCTCATCAGCAGCCTCGAGGCGCAGCTGGCTGAGCTCCGAGGTGACATGGAGCGCCAGAACAGCGAGTACAAGATCCTCATGGATATCAAGACTCGACTGGAGCAAGAGATTGCTACGTACCGACAGCTCCTGGAAGGCCAGGAGTCCCTGTAAGTAACTCTGCTCACTGCAGAAAACCTTTTTGCTTAGCTCTGTAAAGTTTGACCATGCCATGGTGCTCATTTGCCACAGCACCACAGCAAACACAACCTCAAATACTTCTGGTATTCTAAAATTTTGAACAAACTAATTTTTCTGGACCATGGTGGAGCTAGAAATGTTACAGTTCCCATTTACATTAAGTGAGTACCTTAAAGAGTTTCTAAACAAAAAGGCAAATGGACAAGCAGTACAAGAGATTCAACGCAACTAACAGTGAAAGTGATAACTAATCTTTAGCTTCTTGACAGTCAGGAGACATTGTGGGGTTAGTAATGTTTTACAGAATATAAGGATTAACACCAAATTCCCACAAACTTCCTGCTACCAGCTAAATAGCTCTCACCTCATAGGAATCAGTGTAGAAGAAAATATTCTAAAGAGAAGTGCAGGCAGACAAGCCAGCTATTTGCAGACAGCCATTGAGTGGCCCTCCCACCGGGCAGCACAGCTATCTGCCGCTTCACAAATAGCCTCAAGGAAGAAAATATCTTGTGGCCTCGAACAAAAAAATGAGGTAGGGGTTGAAAGGTTTTGATTCCCTCTATTCCTTCTTTTCCATAGTTGCCTTCTCCCAGTGTAGTTTTTAAAAATATATTTGCTACAACACTTCCCTCTCCTGAGCTGGGAGGGAGAGCAAGGAGATGACCACCTCTTCTCTGACTATATACAAAATGTGCCTGATATTGATAGAGAATTTGCTTTCACACATCCTCATCTCATGCAGCATTTGATGTGTTACCTCTCCTTCCAACTGTTATCTCTTTGTTCTACAGGATGTTTGGCTCCCTCTCTGGAACTGCTGGTAAGAATTCTTTCTCTTTCAGGAAACCTTTAGGAGTCAAAGAAGTTTGGTTTTCTAAAAGGAAATACACATACATTACAGTAGTTGTGCCCATTCCAGAGACCGGGCTGCTGCACTCATTTGTGTCACAGAAAAAAATCTAATAAGTAACAAATGATGGCTCTGGCTAGAATTTAACAAATTTCAGTTATTAAAAGATGTTAGACATCAGAAAAAAATCTCAGACTGTGCTACAGTAAAAGCTAAGTAAAGCACAAAATGCTTAATCATTCCCCCAGATGAAAGGACACAAGAAATTTAAGCTTGGCCAGCTCAGGGAAATTGTATGAACATGCAGGTAAAACTTGCCTTGAGCTTTTAAAGGTCAGCTGTATTGTAAAAGCGATGTGTGATTCAAATCTGTGCTATGAAGAACAAAACTTCTGAGAAGGGAATGAGAGACGAGACATAAACCAAGCTCAGCGCCCGTTGCAGAATGGTCTTGTGTGTGTTATGCTTAAGTAATCGCTGTTCTTTCTCTTATTGTAGACAAAAAAGACAAGCTGGCAGACGGAAAGTAGTACTGGAAGTCCTCCAAATGTCATCTTCCCAGTGAGAAAAAGCAGACAACACAGAGGAATTCAGATGGAGCAGAATCCCTCTAAACTGCTGGAAATTGCAGTCTTAAAGCACAGAAAATTCTTGGCCACACAAAGTTTAGGTAGATTCATCCATTTAATGGTGATTAATTTGCAAATTGGATTAGCTTTTCAATTATTTCTAGCTCTTTCACGTACTGAATTGCTTGCATGTGCATGAATTGCTGTGTCTACTCTAATAAAGATAATCGTCTTGCAATCTCAGCTTCCTTTGAGTTACTGTGATATTGTTACTGATGGGCTGTAATCAGGCAGGAAACGGCGAGCCAGCCTCACCGACAGGTCAATGCTCACAGCGCCGGTGGGTGCGTGGCTTCAGCTCCATCTCGGATTTTTTCTAGCTCCTCTTGCTGGCAGGAGCTCTGAATATGGAGGCAACAGCATCCTCAGCCCCTCAGAGTGACTGATGTTTCTGACTACATCAGCTGTGCACTCTGAAGAGCAGTAGCAGTGAGATGTTCAGTGATTCTGGCAAGAAGCAAGAGCTGGGAGATGTTTTGTTAGGGCAAAATATAAAGCTGTTAAAATGGCTTGAAGCTAACTCCTACAGAAACAAACAGGCGTAAGGAACAGTTGTGAGATTTCTTCACTCTCTTTCCCAGTTCATAGAGAGCTAACAAACCTTTAGCACCAATTTTAGCCACCTTCATTCTCATGCCACTGAAAGGGTATTCTTCTAGTTGAAATTCAAAACGCAATCACATTTAGTTCAGGCCCCCAGAAATCAGTAATTTCATTTCCAACCATCCCTCTGCAAGCTTACAGCTTCTTTGTGCTAAGGAAAATCACATTCCTCCCTTCCACTATCACAAAAGGCACATAGCTAGCTCGGCAGCTGAGGGTGAAACTGAAACGCCAGTATGCCCACGACAAGCACCCCAACACTGCAGCTCCTGCAGAGTGGATCCTCTTGCAGCCTGTCTTTCAGGGAGACACCATCAAATCTACTTCTCTCCTTGGACTTGGGAGGGAATGATTCTTTCACCTGTTCATAACTAGTTTACAGATTAATGGAGCGCCTGCAGACCAAGGAGCAGCCCAAAGCTATGGACCTCCTCTCTCAAGGCTGGGCAATCCTCTTCAACCCAGAGACGCTGGGGCTTGGTTTTGGTTCAGCA